TATCTTACAGCCACCTAATCTTCAATAAACCAAATAAGAGCGTCCACTGGGGGAAAGACTCCCTATTCAATAAATGGTGCTGGGAGAATTGGATATCCATGTGTAGAAGACTGAAACTGGACCTGCACCTTTCTCCACTCACAAAAATTGATTCAAGATGGATAAAGGACTTAAATTTAAGGCATGAAAGGATAAGGCTCGGCGCCTATGGCTCAAGTGGCTAAGGTGCCAGCCACATACACCAAAGGTGGCGGGTTTGAATCCAGCCCGGGCCTGCCAAACAACAATGATGGCTGCAACCAAAAAAAATAGCCAGGCGTTGTGGCGGGCACCTGTGGTCCCAGCTACTTGGGAGGCTGAGGCAGGAGACTCGCTTGAGCCCAGGAGTTGGAGGTTGCAGTGAGCTGTGATGCCATGGCACTCTACCCAGAGGGACAGCTTGAGGCTCTGTCTCAAAAAAAAAAAAAAAAAAAAAAAGGCATGAAAGGATAAAAATCCTCTAAGAAAGAGCAGGTAAAACACTGGAAGATATCCGTCTGGGGAAAGACTTTATGAGGAAGACTGGCATGGCAATAGCAACAACAGCAATAATAAACAAATGGGATTTAATTAAACTGTAAAGCTTCTGTATAGCCAGGGAGACAACAACCAAAGCAAAAGACAACCTACCCAATGGGAAAGGATATTTGCATATTTTGAATCAGACAAAAGCTTAATAACCAGGATCTATATAGAACTTCAATTAATCCACAAGAAAAAAGCCAACAATCCCATAATGGGGAAGAGAGATGAATAGAATCTTCTCTAAAGACAACAGACGAATGGCTAGCAAACAGATGAAAAAATGCTAATCATCCCTAATTATTAGAGAAATGCAAATTAAAACCACCCAGAGATATCATCTAACCCCAGTGAGAATGGCCTATAGTATAAAATCTCAAAACTGCAGATGCTGGCGTGGATGTGGAGAGAAAGGAACACTTTTACACTGCTGGTGGGACTGCAAACTAATACAACCTTTTTGGAAGGAAGTATGGAGACACCTCAAAGAACTCAACCTAGACCTCCCATTTAATCCTGCAATCGCATTACTGGGCATCTATCCAGAAGGAAAAAAAAAAACCCTTTTACTATAAAGACACTTATACTAGGCTATTTATCACAGCACAATTTATAATCACTTAAATGTGGAAATAGCCTAAATGTTCTTCAACCCAGGAATGGATTGGTAAGCCATGGCATATGTATACCATAGAATATTATTAAGCCATTAAAAAAATGGAGATTTTGCAGCATTTGTACTAACCTGGATGGAGGTGGAACACATTATTCTTAGTGAAGCATCACAAGAATGGAGAAGTATGAATCCTATGTATTCAACTTTGATATGAGGACAATTAATGACAATTAATGACATGGTGGGACATGGGGGAAGGGGAGAGCAGACAGAGAAGGAGGGAGGGGTGAGGGAAAGGAAAAGAAGAAAAGAAAAGAAAAGAAAAGAGTGACTAATTCTCACATAAATTGGATTTAATTTTGACCAAAGTACATTAATTTTTTTTTCTTTTGAGACAGAGCCTCAAGCTGTCGCCCTGAGTAGAGTGCTGTGGGCTCACAGCTCACAGCAACTTCCAACTCCTGGGCTCAGGTGATTCTCCTGCCTCTGCCTCCCAAGTAGCTGGGACTACAGGCACCCACTACAATGCCCAGATATTTTTTTTTTGGTTTTTCATTGTTGTTTGGCAGGCCCAGGCTGGATTCAAACCTGCCAGCTCAGGTGTATGTGTCTGGTGCCTTAGCCGCTTGAGCCACAGGGACCAAGCCAACATTAATTTTTAATTCAACTTGTTAATATGTTGTTTAGGATATTGCATCCTCATGTATAAGTGTAATATGTTTGTAATTCCCCCTTTATAAGAATATATTTTCTCCAATTTTAATATCAGGTGTATCCAGATTAAGTAGAATGATTTTGAAGTATTTCTTCTTTTTCTATTGTCTATAAGATTTGGGGTGATCTATTCTTGGAAATTATATTTTACTTTTATTTTTGAGACTTTGGAAAAATAAAAAGGAGGAGTGGCACCTGTGGCTCAAAGGAGTAGGGCATTGGCCCCATATGCCTGAGGCTGCAGGTTCAAACCCAGCCCTGGCCAAAAACTGCCAAAAAAAAAAAAAAAAGAGTTAATTGATGACTCCATACTGAACCTCAGAGTCAAAGCATTCTATAATAGACATACTCTTGTTTGACAATGTGAATGCTACTTTCTTTGTATCATTATTATTATTGCTTTATATTTCGATGCAGCAATTGTCTGATTTCTTTTCTGAATGTATTTATCTTCCTTCGTTCTTTACGAGGTTTCGTTTCTAGTTCTTATCTTTAACGTTGCTATTGTTATTAAATTTTAAGCCTTTTTAATTTTGTGAAGGCAAAAAGTGGAAACCGAATAAACACATGTATACGTAAAAAAAAAAAAAAAAAAAAAAAACTATTCCCCAGAATTCAGCATTTTAAGGCTTGAGGCACCTGAGTTCTCACTGGCAATGAAATCTTCCTTCTATATTTTTAGTGTAAGTGTGTGTCAGTTTTAATTTGCTGTTTTCCTGTAACATGATTAGTATTAGGTTATAGATGATTAGGTTACACTTTTTCCGTTTTGGGGGTAAAGTCCCTGTGGTAGTTGTGCTCCTCACCCAGGAGGTTGTACTGGTTGCCATGTACTCTTACATTGTACCTGTTACATGAGAGGACACCAGTCCTCTTCCTTCCTCTCCTCTCACCCCTCCATCCTCTCCCCTTCCCTTAACTTGAACTGAGTTTTTCTCTTGTGTGGATATGTTCTTCTCCTGCCTTCACGTTAGTATAAAGTACATTAGATACTTGCTTTTCCATTCTTAAGATACTAAATGTTCTCCAACTCCATCCAGGAGTTAATACAAAAGATGTAAAGTCTCCATTTTGCATGGTCTATTCCACGGTATACATATACCAGTTTTATCAATCCATTCATGGGACGATGAGCACTTATTTCCACATCTTAGTGATTGTAAATTGAGCTGCAATAAATTATTTCTTTTCTTTCCCTTTTTTTGAGACGGTCTCACTCAGTTGCCCTGAGTGCCCCGGTGTCACAGCTTACAGCAACCTCCGATTCTTGGGCTTAAGCGATTCTCTTGCCTCAACCTCCCAAGTAGCTGGGACTACAGGCGCCGTCCAAAACATTCAGCTATTTTTTTTTTTTTTT